ATTTTTTTAAAAAAATACCCCCCCCCCCCCCTTATAAAAAAAAGTGGGTAAAAAGTAATTTTCGTTTCCGACAAATTCTGGTGCGGGAGGTTTGTTGCAGTGCCACTCATTTCAATGGCACCCTAAACGCGCTTCCCGCCTGCACTGGAACATGTGGTACTGCAATTGCAAAAAAATGTGCATGCAGTATTATGCTGCAGTAAACTTTATGTTTGTAACACTCCACTGGTGTATGTGAAATTAAGGATGGTGTTTAATTTGTTTTTTAATCAGAGTAATCGAAAATATAAAAAAAATTGCAGCCCTACTTTAAAATCAGTTTGAGATTGCTCCCAATGATAAAATTACCTATTGCCTATAATGATTCTAGACCAGTGGTTCTCAACCTGTGGGTCGGGACCCAAAAGTGGGTCGCGACCCACAGTTGAGGGGGTCCCCACATGCCTTGTGCTGCTCTAGGTAAGAGTCTTCTCAGCCTCCTCCTAGCGCAGCAGTGTCAGTTCTCCTAGATGGTGCTGCAGCAGCAGTGGCCAGACAGGATCAGAGAGAGGGGAGCAGGCAGAAGTGAGGGGAGGTGAGTGCTTGATCACCACAGAGCCCACACTGGACGCCTACAGAGAGTCCCACTAGCAACCTGAGAGCCCGCATAGCCTCCCGAGAGCCCACACAGATACTAGTATTGGTGCATCCCTAAATTTTACGAGTTGGGGGTCACCACAACTTGGCAAATGTTACCAAGGGGTCCCGGCCCTAGAAAGGTTGAGAACCACTGTTCTAGACCATAAAAATTATAGTCTTGAACACTGCAGGCTTTAATAAATACATGGCATCTAACTGTAACACAATAATTAGGAAGGAACTGGAATTAGAAGTGTATTTATTAAATTAAACTGAACCTAGCACGGCAGTTACTTACCACTCCTCATAATGCTCACGCCACAGTTTCCTTTTTCAAATTTCACTCCCTCATACTTGTACCCTGCAAGGAAAAAAAATCTTAGATTATATTGTCTTTGTTCAGCAATACAGAAGGTGGACATTGAGTAAAAATAACCTTACCTGTAGGAGTAGTAACAGTACATTCTGTGTATGGCAGTTGGTTCAGACCCTCCTCCACCACCAACCGGATCTGCAACACCAATATAAATTAGGCAAATGCACTAAAGAAAAAGTACTACAATATTTCTTACAATGGGAGATAATCGTCTCCAATAAGCTATTGGTCTTTATTGAATTAATTGACTGAAATGCTAATTAAATTTCATTATGCTAAATTCTCTGTTGCTGTGTTAGCCAAGGTGAGAGCTTTCAGTCATAAGCACTGTGATGTGCTATCCAGGAGAGAAGCAGCAAGGCACAATCTGAAAGCCTGCCTGGTCACACTGTGTATGCAGTTACTACTGTGTATGCTACTCCATGCAGGAGGCCAACCTGGCGCACAGCAACAAGAACCAGCCCACTCATTCTAAATGGATTATAACAGGGGTGGACAAATTAATATGGAATTCAGGAACCAGTCTGTCCAATTCAGGGATTTATGAGCCAGGTCCATTGAACACAACCAGAGAAAACCAATAAAGTTGGGAGCCAGCTGTATTTCTAAGGATCATTGACAATCTGGCTCCTGGGATTTGTCCAGTCCTGAATTAGAATATCTATTTTGTGCATTATGTATTCAGTTACTTTACAAAAATTAAATTGTAAATTACTGGTAAAAATACATACCAGACGATCTGCAGAAAATACAAAATCTCCTCTGCTTGTGGTCCTGTAAACGGAGAAATACAGACACTATTACAATCGAACATGTTACTGTAATATTTAAGTAGTCACACCAGAGCATAGTGCCATGTATTTCCTGCACAATGGAGGATTGTCTAACATCTTCTGGAATCCCCAGCTGTCATCTACTACCAGAACTAGCCACATCAGAACTCCCAGTGTACTGCTAGAACATTTTAGAACAGAAGGACGGGACAAGAAATCCATCTTCTGCCAATTTTTCTTTCTTGATTGTAGAGTACGGCACGCAGGCGGATTCGGAGATGACTGGTAAAATGCAGGTATCATCAATCGTCTCTGGATTTGCCTGTGTCCTGTACTGTACTCAAAAGGAACATATTTTACTGGTAAGGCAAAAATCCTATTTTCTTGATCATACTTACCCCTCTGGCAGCCTGTGCCTCCCATCTTTGCTCTGTTGGAATGTTGCAGCCCCTGTAAACCCTTCAGCATGTGATCATTTTTGGCATGTCAGATGCCTGTGACCCACGCCGCATGCTATGGTTCCATCCTCGGACCCCAACAGGACACAACAGCGATGTAGAATGGAACCACAGCATGAGGCAGAGGACACCAGCATCTGACACTCCCTGAAATGTGAATTGTAGAATAATCTGGTGAAGGCTGAATCCCCTGAATAGAGCAAAGATAGCAGAGACGGGTGGCCAAATCCCCTGAATAGAGCAAAGATAGCAGACATGGGCAGCCGAATCCCCTTGATAGAGCAAAGATAGCAGACATGGGCAGCCGAATCCCCTGAAGAGAAGCAAAGATAGCAGACATGGGTGGCCGAATCCCCTGAACAGAGCAAAGATAGCAGACATGGGCAGCCGAATCCCCTAAACAGAGCAAAGATAGCAGACATGAAGGCTGAATCCCCTGAACAGAGCAAAGATAGCAGACATGGTCAGCCAGAGAGGCAAGTATAATACCGTTTCTTTTGCAGGAAGTTGCTGTTGAGAATGTTTTCTGGCGATGACAGTGGCTTTAAAGTGTTACTTATAGGCAAATGGCTAAATACACAGGGAACAGTCTTACCTGCCACAAAATTAATTCCTTTCAGCCAGTTTTCTAATCCAGACATCCTGCTAGACACCACAGATAAGTTCTGACCATTTACTTTCTGCATAGCTAGCAAAGCAATGCAGCGTGGTCAAGATTGTGATTGAATAGTGAAAGAAGAGCACCTTGTTAGATGCATGTCTCCTTTAGTTTTGAAAGCACTTTCCCTATAAAACAAAGCAATTATTTATTAAGTACAGTGTATTAAATAGTTATTGTGAATAACCAGATGTAGAGTCTTCTTGGTACATTGCCCAACCAACTCACAGCTGTGGATCAACCATTTAGGACCTAATACAGGCCAGTTGTGCTAAATAGAATTCGAAGGTCATGTCCTGGACTGTTACAGCTGCACTTTATAAAGAACTGTTTCTAAAGACAGCGTTACACAGACGAAAAATAATGGAAAAAAATATATATAAAAAAGGTAGCAATATGATATCAAAAGACAGAACCAAATATCTAATAAGAAAATGAAAACAAAACCTAATAACATTCTTGTGAATAGAATTGTAGCATGGTGAATCACCACATTATGCCGGAATCAATCAGACCTGTGTCCCCACTGCGCAAATCACTTGTGACACCATTATAACAGCTGTTAAAATTCCTTCAGATACTCAACATGTTACAGTATCAGCTGCGCTGTACCCTTTGAAAGTTCTGGGAAACTAAATAAGTAATCTGAAATTCAATGATCCAACCAAACATAAAAAGCACTTCTGTATTCTCAATGTCTGCCTTGACCCACATGTCCTTTGCAATACTTTCCAATAAAAGCACTATAGAGTACTCTATGTTATTCTTCTTCTTCTTCTTCAGGAATATTATGATTATACAGGATTTGTACAGTTCCAACAGTACGCACAGCACTACACAACATAAAGGGAGACAGTACAATTACAATTCACTACAAGAAGGTTAGGGGGGCTGTTCCTAAGATCTTACAATTTAAAAGGGGAGTGTCAAGAAAATCAAAAAGTTAATACCTGTATGGGGATGAGTTGATGGAGCATTGTAGCCGACATCATTACTCAT